CCCTACAGTGTTAAATTTAAGTTTTGAGGCATGTAATGTAGTAGGTCATCGAGGTGGAGTTGATGTACAGTGATTTGCTCCAGGCTTACAATACTGTTTAGGTTCAGATTCTCATCCACAAATAGATCTCTTATACTACCTTATTATTATATAATATTTCATGTCTTAAGGATGATTAATTTGATCCCTGCAAAGGGCATATGTGACCAATTTACTATTAAAAACTTGATACTGGTGTACTTTCTTTTTAAATAAAAACATTTTAGTTACAAATGAAAAAAAATGAGTCAGACTGATGCTGTAGCTTGATGTGGGAACTTTCTTGAGGGTACTAGCTAAACAGTGCCTATCCCTTACCATTTACCTCCTTTTAAAATTTATTTTTAATTATTATTTTATTTTTTCCCCCCATAAAGAACTCATTTCAGTTTCTGGGTTCATAATATGGCTCACCAGTGACTTTCCTGGCAAAGCTCAGCTGATGTATCTTGGTATTTGGGGGTAAATCTTTAAGGAATATTTAAGCTAGTATTGCTCATGAGGGCCAACTTGTAAAAACAGACTTAATCTCGTATTGACGTGTTCTGATCTGCTTTTATGAAGGCTTAAATACTAATTTTTTTTTTTTTTTATTTAGGGTGCAATTTTCTTGGAAGGAATAACAGTTAAATGTGTGACCCAGGTGACAACACAACCAAAGTTAGGAGGAATACAGCAAAAATGCCAGCAGTTCTGTGGATGGGAAGGGTATGAAAACATTTAGAACTTGTTTATTTATACTGTCTAGAAGTAAGTGTTATGTTTGTAGTTTTGCAGAAGGAAACAGCTCATTCTAAAAATGAAAAAGGTGACTATTTTTGGAGCGATTGTTAAAAAAAAAAAGCAAGCCTCAAAAACACTCAGCAGTGAAACAGATGAGGATCTTGCATTGTACTATGAAACAGAATGATCAACTATTGATGTTAAGAAACAAGATTCTAGAACTGCTTTTGCATTCAGATAACAAAATCTTTTCAGATTAATTGTTGCTGTGCAAATTCCAGATGTAGTCTAGTCCATGTATTTGTCTAAAATTCAGTGCTTGCTCAAGCAGTAGACTTATTTATACAACTGCTATTACACTTCAATACTGAGGTATAATACTTGTGTTTATAGCCAACTTGGATTTGTGTCCAGTGTTAATGAGAACGTTGATTTTAATGCCTCAGATTCTGAACTCCTCCTTTCCAAAGCTGATGATCCAGGGAGTTACAGCGCTTTCTAACTTTTTGATGCTTATAGTTCTTCTAGTGCTTGTAGTTTTGAATTCAAATATGTCTTCCTCCAAGGTTAAAACTTTGAAGTTCTACATAATTTATTGTTTTGTCATAGACAAATACACTTGTTCTTACCAGATCAGGCATTTGCTTCCTATTGCAAAATACCTTATTGGAGAAGATGTTCTAAGTCAAAGTTAACCTTGCAGCAAGTCTGGTACAAGGTGACTTCAGTCTAATGTAAAAAATGCATTGCCTTGTGTGACTATTTATTGCAGAATATTAATAAACATGTTTCTCTTTTTTTAAGGTCTGGATTCCCTGGAGCACAGCCTGTTTCCATGGACAAGCAAAATATTAAATTTTTGGAGCAGAAGCCATACAAAGTTAGCTGGAAAGCAGACGGCACTCGGTAAGATCATTTTAAATGAAAAAGAAACACCCAGTAAATTGGGTAGACGGCTTGTATTTTCTCAGGAAAGTGAATTTGCTTGTACAAAGGACAAAGCATATTCTAACAACAGAACTGACCCCAGAGATTAATTTTTTTGCTGTCTTGGTACCCGACACTTGCCGAAGTTTGTGGCCAAGTTTCTTCTTAGCAGCTGTTCTGCAGACTGGGTATTAAATGTACGTACTTTTATTCTTCTCCATAACCCTTGCTGGTCTGTCAGCCAAGACTTGCCACCAAGGTCTTAGAATAAGATAACAGTAAGAGTTTGTTAAGCTGAAGAATTTGGTTATGAAAGTTAAATTAAAACTTCTAGTTGATCCTTCAGAAGTTGGCTAGTATTAGAAATGTCATAGGGTTTTTTTTATTTGTACTGTGATCCTTTGCTGAAACTTGTAGTTCTGGTCAGCCAAAGAGTCAATAGTTTCATCATCCCTCACCAGTTCTCTTACATTCATTGTAGAGGTGACTTTTTTTTTGTGACAGACTACAGCCTGATGGATTGATGTGTTGAACCTCTTCAGTGTTACTATTTCTGATTTGAAATGCATCCTTGTATTTAATTTCTCCAGTATTCTCACAAAGGAGAAATGCCATACATCACCAAATACAGAATGGCAAAACACTTTTTTCTCTGATACTGGTTATAGATTGGTCTCAACTGCATGAAACTCTGTTGTCTAAACATGTGTGTCTGGTATCATCAAGTATCCATCCTTTCATTGCTTTGTCTATGAAAAAGCCATGTCACACAAGGTCTGTTGCCTCTACACCCAGCAGGTTGGATGAGGTATAGAAAGTATTCGCTATTCACATTGAAATTAAATCCCAAATGTTAGGTGCCCCATTTCCTTATACTCTTGCAAAGAGGTACTGTGGCCCTTCATAGAAACAAATCTTTCTTGAGTAAAATTCCAAACCTCCAAAATCATACTTATTTTCATAGGACTGAATATTTTTAATAGGTTGGAACATTTGTGAAATTACAACCATTTTCTTGAGGTTTTGAAATAATAAATATTTCATGGGGATTGACATTCTAACTTTCTGGTTTTCTTCCGTATTTCTGGTTTCAAAACTAAAATCAAGAATCCCAGATATTAATGGAAATGGTTTTAACCTGTGCTACTGTCCTGGTTTTGGCTGGGATAGAGTTAATTTTCTTCCTAGTAGCTGGTATAGTGCTGTGTTTTGGATTTAGCATGAGAATTATGTTGATAACACACTGATGTTTTAGTTGTTGCTAAGCAGTGCTTACACTAGTCAAGGACTTTTCAGCTTCCCGTGCGCTGCCATTGAGGAGGTGCACAAGAAGCTGGGAGGGAGCACAGGCAGGAGAGCTGACCCAAACTGACCAAAGGGCTATTCCATACCACATGACGTCATGCTCAGTATAGAAACTGGGGGCAGTTGGCTGGGGGGCAGCGATCGCTGCTCAGGGACTGGGTGAGCATCGGTTGGTGGGCAGTGAGTAATTGCATCACTTTTTTTTCCTGGGTTTTGTTTCTCTCTCTCTTTTTGTTGTTTTTCATTACATTTTTATTATTATTCTATTTTATTTCAATCATTAAACTGTTCTTATCTCAACCCATAAGTTTTCTTACTTTTGCTCTTCTGATTCTCTCCCCCATCCCATCGGTAGGGGGAGAGTGAGTGAACAGCTCTGTGGTGCTTGGTTGCAGACTGGGGTTAAACCACAACAGCTACTCATAGCATTCAGATCACAATCTTTCTTTTTGTTGTGGGGGCTATCTTGAGATAATTAATAGTGTAATTTCTTACATCATAGTCACTAGTGTCTCAGTAACAGGAAGAATTTAAATTGTGTGACGCATCTCATTCATTTCAATAGCTTGATTTTTATTTCTAAAATATGTTCTTTATATACAGTAGTATTTAAGCAATTGTAATCTGTGCTAAGTAGAATGACTTTAGCTTTTATTCACTTAGAGCAAATGAATAGATTTTTAACCTGCTTTGACTTGATCAGAAAAAGTGCAATTACAATGAATGTACACATGGTAAGAGGAGGACTGGTATGCTCATTTGTGCATGGTGCTTTAAACTAGCAAAAGAGTTTGGTGTTGACATGTGTACAAGTTAGAAGGCATCAGCTGTGTGAATGGAATGTATGCTTTCAAAAACAGGAGGTAAGATTTTCTGTTTTCAGTCTGGTGAAGTTAAAATACTGGTTTTGTGTATAGATATGGGCAAAAGAAGTTTTGTTTTAGCAGTGCAATGGGAAGCATTCTCCCTTCCATGTGCTAAGTCAACAAAGTAACGTTTTGATACTAAACAAGCAGTGTAGGCTGGCTTCTAAAGTTTTTCCTGTGTTCTTTATTTTGTTCAGTTTGTTATCTTTAGTAATAGAATGGTGTATCCTAGATAATGAAAAGCCTGGAAAATATGGGGAATTGGGTGTCTTGTGAGAATTACCAAGTGGCTCCACATGGAGTCAGTCAGGTTTCAGCACCATTCATCCAGAACTAAGCTGTCTCCTATAAAAAAAAACCCAAACAAACCCTTCAGGTGTCTCTCATCTGTGGAGTTGTACTTCAAGGGTTTATTAGCTTGGGCAGAGCATGGTGTGAAAATACAAAGCAAGCTTGCACTCAGCATGGCATCGAAGCATTAAGAAATAGGTGGTGGGAATATTTGGTTTATTAACGTTGGCTGGCTGTATGTGCTGGCACAAGGACTTGGGTAATGCGATGCAGGCGTTCACAGGGTGCGAGGTTACAGAAACATTGTGTTGGGACATTCAGGCTTATTCTCAGAGCAGTACAGTGCATTCAAAAGTGCTGAGCCTAAACAAGTAAACTCAGCCAGCTTAAACTGACCATGCAAAGAGCTAGATGGAGTCTGCATTTATTACTCATTTAATCCCCAGATATAGTGCCCATGGACTTGACTTGTATAACTATGAAAATATGCTCACAAAGAATTAATGTCCTGTGCAGCTCAGGTGTTCGTAATCCTTGCCTTTTCTCATAGTTCAGACCTTCAGGAAGCCTTTGTTTTAGGGATTGGTTTATACTAGTATTTTAGTATGTATTAAAGATAGTTTATGGGAATGTTTTCGTATAATTTAAGCCTATTGCTTCAAGAAATAATAATAACAAAATAATTTTGTTTTTAAAATAATTTCTTTATAGAAGGCCATTTGACATTAAAGGAAAAAATGCTTCATCTGCAGTGTCTCTAGTGTGCATTGCCACTGGAGAATAATCTGTTCAAAACTGTGGGTCATTAGCCAATACAGATTGGTATGTCTTAGAA